TGTTGTAAATACAACTTAACCACTGATTTCTAGTCGTGTCCTCTTTTGGAAGACCAAACAAAGTAGTTTCGCTTTCGCAACGAAACACACAGCGTCTCCACGACATGCCGGTGGCGGCGGCAACAACAATACTACAACGAAAATAAAAGTTATGCCTTCTTTCTTTGCGTGAACATTTGGGCGGTGTTATTCAAATCTTCCCACACAGTGATGTAGACATGTGGGGGTGTGTTTTAACGAGGCGTTTTAGGAGGGCATGGACAATTATTTTATAAAGAATATCTCTTTAGGTTTGAAACTTTAGCCTTTGCAACTTTAGGTATCTTATCTATTCACAAACAGCTTGTAATACTCCAAAGAGAAAGGAAAACTTGAAATCGCATCTTATGACCCCTTTAAATGCAGGGAGACGTGAAAGAGGAATCAACTCACTATTCGCGCTCTGTCTGAAACACGTCTCTGCTTGTGCGTGCTTTGGCAGTGTTCAAGAACAGCGCATGATGCATTGACTTCTCTTTCTTTCTTCTTCTTGTGGTTTAAAACTGCTTGAACGTGTAAATTGCCAAATTAATCTGCGAATCACATGCGTGCCGAATGGCAGGGTCCGGTCTGTACGAATCAAGGATCAACTGTGCTCACTGCCACGACTCCTGAAAAACTTTTTCATTCCAAGTCACCCCATCAAGCTCTCGCTGGATTCGCTCCTCTGCTATCAACGGGAGGAATGTCTGTACTTCCTCAACAGACCACAAAACCATTTTTTGGTTGTTAAAAAAAGGTGCACTCATTCAAACGGTTGCGTTCGGTCCTTCACTGGCTGTGCTGATTTAAATCTAGCGGTTCTGTTGTGTTTGTGTCGCAAGTTCAGTGACGCAGGTAGTGACGATTCTCTCCGGCCAATCCATGATCAGCAGAGTTTACACGTCACGTTTTGGTAACGGTACAGTTCACTTGGAACCCCAACCGAAGTGGTACTAAAAAAAGTACCAGGTACCAGGTACTGTACCCAGTGGAAAACCC